CTAGCCTCATTGAAAACCCCCTTCATAACCATCAAGCTCCGAAAAACTCAATAGTCATTGGAAAGGAGGAAAAGAGTGCCCAAAATTTTATTGCCAAAAATAAGGTCTACATCCAAATCCAAAACAAATACAGTACAAAGACCCCCATTAAAACACCCAAAACATACCCCCATCTCACCAAACCAAAACACCTCGCCTCACACTAGCCTATGCCCGATTTAGCTTAAACAATCAGCTTCCCCATTAGTACATCTCTTAACATGCCTAGTTATAACATTGAAATGCAACACAGTCTTCTGAATAACTCTAACTAAATCAACATAACGAACCGGGCAAGTCTCCGGGTTGATGATCCACTTCAAAGCAAGAGAGGAATCACTCTCTAAAATCAGACTCACCTTATCCTTCCACACCGAGTTAAAAAACAAGTCTAATCCTGTTTGAATCGCTAAAATTTCTGCAAGGATCGGGGGGCCTGGTCCGGACGCTCTTGAGAAAAAAGCCAACCTCTTATTTTCAGCATCCCTGAGAATACCGCCAATACCACTGCACCTCCAGTCAAAATGAACAGCCCCGTCCACATTCATTTTTAAAAAACCCGGAGGGGGAGGACACCCCCCTTTTTTTTCCTTTTACCCATTACAAAAAAAAAATTTTAATACTTTAGGAGGAATCTATTCAATCTCCAACTAGAATAAAATGCTGTGAAAATAACTCTTACCTGCAGGGAAGAAATTGTTTCAATGGCCTTAGTTCTATCAGATGAAGCATCAACTAGTTGTGCTTCCAAGCTCTCTATATTATGATGAAGAGAGAAGAATCAGAGAAACCAAAGCACCATTCTTGCAAGGTATGCCAGAACTAAGAGAAAGCTCTTTGCATCTTAACCATCATTGACACATTATACAGCTGAATATCCAACTTACCTTCTGATGTTTAGCAGCTACCTCTGCCACTGAAGCTTGCCTTTTTTCATCTGCAAGTTGTAGTAGTCCTTGCAAGTCTTCTAACATCTAAAACATAAGCATGTATAAGACGGACCCCATCAAGAATTTCAGCAGTAAAGTACACTAGGAAGACAAAGCAACAGAACATAAATCCATCTATGGGAATCGATGCCATTGTTAACTCTGTTTCAATTTCAAAGGTTCACACATAAAGTTACCAAGCATAATCACTTGATCAAATTGATGATACAATAAGCTCTGAGTTGCAAGAAGGTATTGTTTAATAGTCTCCCAAAAGGCAAAAACACATACATGAAATCTTTTGTTATTGGAACACACGAGATATTGTTCAAAACCAAACACAATAAACTGTATGCACACAAAGCTATAGTACCTGTTCCTTCTCTATAACTGTTTGTTGCAATGCTTCAATTGCATCGTCTTTAGGTTGCATTGAATGGCGTAATTCCTCAATATTGTCTCGGAGTCTAGAAATAAATGGCATCAAAATTAGAAAAAAGTAAAAAATAAGGAATAAAACTCTATAGGCACTATCAGCTGGTGTTAAGACAATGAGATTCATGATAAAGGATAAGTGCAACTTTTTAGGTTCAAATTTGTTGTTAGAATTATGTAGTTCAACAATGATTATACTTATTGTTTGCACTTCGTAATTGTTGTCTCTCTGCATCCATCGTTTTCAATGCTTCATTTGCTTGTTGATGTGTGCGCTCAAGCTCTTGCTGCAGACCTGACTGTTGGGATGTAGCTTTCTCAATTGATTCATTAGCTTCACGAAGCCTGACCTCAATGTCATCTTTTTCCAGAAAATAATCTTCAAACAAAAATCTAACTTAGTTCCATGCAAACCTGAAGCCTCCTTCCGTAATTTCTCTTGGTATTAGTTCCATGCAAACCTGAAGCCTCCTTCCGTAATTTCTCTTGGTATAATTTTTTAACAAAATTAGGAAAGTTCTGCAGTTAAATAAAATAATCAAAGGACAAAATTCACCTTCTGAATCTCTTGAATGCGCTGTTTCGCACGCTTGTGAAGCCGATTAAATTTGGAGTCAAGCTCATTGTACTTCTCCTCACGCTCTTTTATTTCTTGATCCAACTTTTGTTGAGCTACAACATGATCAATGGTATATACTCAAGGTTCAGACCAAACTAAGCAGAAATAAGAACACGTATTACACTAAAAACAGATTGATCCTTCTCTTGTTTCTGAGATGTTTTTAGAGAAAGAAGTTCCCGCTTTACAAGGTTACATTGAGCCAAGTTTACAATATATAAATAAGATGCATTTTTTAATGATGAACTCCTCTGACCTTCAGCAAGCTTGCCAGAGAGTTCTTGAGCTTTGGCATCTGCTTCTGAGTAGACCTCTCGAAGATGCTTTAAAGCGTCTTCTGCTGCAGCTCGTGTTTGTTTTTCTACATTAAGTTCTCTGCTCAAAGATTCTATTTTCTCATGCAGTTCTTTTACGTTGACTGGATACTCGGTTTCCTTTTCAATTACATTAGTTTGCCCGGATGAAACATCATGTTCTGATTGGAGATTTTTGAAGTTCTCCAGCTGAGACTTTGTCTGTAAAAGCTTATCATGAGCATCATCCGAACTCAAGTTGGCATCTAACACAGCATTTTCCTTGGAAAGATCTCCATTTGTTTCAGACAAATGTGTCTCAGGCTTCAAAGAATCATCTTCCCGAGTTTCAGGCACTTGATTAACCTCCTCAACTCCCTCCCCAGACATTATCACACACTATATAACAACAGCATCACAAACATCAGCTACAACCTAAAGATTAAAAATGAAAAGCTAATTTTGAAGCTATTAACCATAGAGCAAGCGGATCAGGAAGCTAGTTAGCAGCAAACATTCTATAACAGATACTGGAAACTGAATGAACGATAGAGGACAAAGTCAACATTCAAGTAATGCTCTCAATTGCTCGTTCTTTGATCAAATGAATCTAAGATGAGAAACTTCTCCAGAATCCAATTTTTCGTTTAATGCTTTTGTAAATCGTGCAAGAATAAACGACAGACGCTGAAGCAAACGACAATTGTCTTAACAGATTTCGTTGAATTTAATCAGGAAATAAATTTTCCAATGAAAATTCCAAAAAAATGCATTCATTAGATCTGAATTAGAAACACAGAAGTAGAAATTGTGTACCTTTGAATCTGTGGAATGAGAGAAGACGAGGATCGATTCGATTTGATTCAATCACTGATTTGAGATATAATTTTTCAGTTTTGAGGGAAATTGCGAATGTGTTGTCGAGCTCAAAGTGCCAGCTTCGATCTAGATTTGAAATCCCAGTCTTAAAAAATTAGGTTTTTAGCTTTATTGGTTTCTAAAAATTGGCTAGACGCTAAAATATTCGAATTATTCGAAGTTATCCATATTTATTTATGCCTATTTGATAATCTATTAGAAAATGATAAATTTTAGCCGGTTTAATGTTTTAAGTAATTTGAGTTATTTAAGAGAATATTTCATTTTTTATTAAAATAAAAAATAAATTACAAGATGATATTTATTAAAAAATAAAAACATTTAATAATAATTATAATAAAATGTTATAAATAAAAATAAAAACATAATTAATAAAAAAGTTTCATTGCAAAACATTAACTAGGGATAATATAAGATATCTCGTACATTGCACGAATCAAGCGATCTTAGTGGTTCAGAGATTTATTGTTATTCTTTGAGGTTCTAAATTCGAATATCACGTATATCAGAGATATAAGTCTTCTTTGTCAGCATAATTGAAAGTCTTTGAACATATATTATCTTGTATTTACTCTAAATTTATAAAATAAATCATTTCATGCACTATCTTCGAATTATAATAGATTTTATTAATGAATAAAATTAATATTATGAAATTATTTATAAATAAATATTCCTAAATTTATTTAAACATAAATTAAAAGTATAAATTTATTGAAAAATACTCGCCGAGAGATTTACCTACCAAAACAAGATATACGACACGAGTCGATCTAGATTAATCAAGTCAAAGCCTTGGAACCGAAAGTATACCAAAATAAAATTGTTCATACCTATGCGGAAAAAAGAAATGAAACTCACAAGATTCATCAAAAGAGATTGTTTCTCCCGATAGGAACAATAACTTAATCTCCACATCAGCTGAAACAACAGACAAATGGGGGCCTGAAACAGGATCAAGTTTATGTTAATATTGTTGTTGTGGTTCACCATTGTTGGAATTTTCGATTCTTTGAATGGAAGCTTTGAGCTCCGAAAGAACGTGTGTGTGTTCTTGAAGGATTGCAGGCTATTTGTTTCCAAACCGAACCAGGCTCCTCCAATTGACTTGGATCTTGGTAAAGCTCGTATATAGATTCGGCTCCTGGGTTCAACTTGCTCACATTTGTCAAGCATTTTATCTCATCCGTGTCTATCAGCAAATTGCTGTCTCCATCTTTCCATGCTATCAACTGTATCACTCAACAACCAAGAATTAATTTTTTGATTTTCTTTATTTTTTTCACCCAAGACAGTAGTTTTTTTTATTTTTATTTACCTTGGGTGGGCCTCCTAGAGCGTTGGTGCAATAGAGCCTGGCATTATCAGTATCTTGGAAATGCACTTGCAAACATTTTATGGGATTTCAACTGAGAATTTACTCTCACTGCTCTGTTCACCATTATAGCTCTCCTGCCATTCACGAGGTCCTTTAACTTTGGTTTATTCTCAGATTCAACACTCAAAACCTACCATTCAAGCAATCCCACCAAAATTTAGATAACACATTTGTTCAGCGAAAATTTAGAATGAGAATCGATGTTGGGTGTTCAAAAAACAAAACGTTTACAGGTTTGGAGTGTGAAGATAAGAAACATTCAAACCTGGGTAATCATATCAGGAGCACGACTCCAATGGAAAGCAAAATAACAAAGGATGCATCTCCCCAACCCCTCCACCAGCTTCACGTACAAATCCTCTTCGTTGCCAAAATATTCAAAAAACTTCACCTCACAATCTTTTGGGTTTTTCAGATATTCATTTGCCAACTTGCAGAGCTCCGGGCACTCATTTGCATCCTGAAACCCTAGCTGCGTGGCTGCATTAATCCCAAATCTAAACTCGTAATTAAGCCCACGAATGTTTATAAGAACAAATGCTTTTTATGTATATTACCAACGTAGTGGGAGAATCTTTCCAGCTTTCCAACGCGGCCGGACTCGGTCCTTTCCAAGAGTGGGATGATGATATTCTGATGTTCTTTTACGGGTTCACGCTTCCGCCGGGTTCAAGCTGCGGCGGCGGCAGCTCCAATGACAGAGGCAGCAACGATGGAGATGATAATGGATTTACCATGGCCATGCTCTGCAGCGATTATTTTTGACAGAAAATTACTACCAATTCACTCGGAACTTGCAGTGTCAAGAAATTAAAAGAGAATGGAAAATAATAAGACAAGATTTTAGCTTAAGCCTTTACCGTGACGCATTTTGTTGATGCTGTTGTGTGGTTGATGAAATGAAATGAATATGGGTTGGCTTCGATTCATCACCAGATGGAATTTGATAACTTATAATATAATTAACTCTTAATACTGGATAGCCGGATGGAGATTACTTTGGCACGGATTCATGATTTTATGTTAGGGATAAACTTAAATTTTTAAAATTTCAAGAGGTCGAACTTAAATTTATAAAATTCTAAGAGACGATGACAGATTTTAAATCGAGAATATATATAAAAAAATCTAAAACAATTTTAATTTTTAAGGAGATCGACTGCTCCCATCCAATTCCCCTAGTCTATCACTTACTTTGGACATGAATGTTATAAAAATTTATAATAGGTTATAAAATAGTGATAAATTTTAAAATTTTAAAAATTATTTATAATTCGTTAAACTTAATAATTATTTCTACAATAATTTAATAAAATTTAATGATCATTTATAGTCGTTTGAAAAGTTCAAGGACTGTTTTATTATTTTTAAACTTGAATGATAAGAAGGTTATTATAATATATTTTAATGATTTCTCATAATTTACCCTTAAATCAAAATAAAAGTTTGCTTTGTCAGTTCATTTCAAACTTTAAGGACGAGCTATTATAATCATACTATTAAATCAAAATCTATCGAACATATAAAATTTACGGGAGTCGGGATCCCTTTAGCCCAACCTAGCTCCATCCCTGCACTAGATTACTTATTTTATGTGAAGTATATATAGAGATTTGCGAGAGAAAGTTAATATAATAAGAGGAAAACAAATTGTTACCTAAAAAAAAGCAATCATGTAGCAGGCTTCTTGGACATGATAAGGGTATAGCAAGATTGATGAATACTTTCAGCAAAATGAGTTATGCGCCTATATCCCATACAGCTTAGATTCAAGACGCGGACTGATGAGAACTTCAAGAGGGGTTGCTTTCAGATTCGTTAATCCCGTGCTTTCCGTCATATCGATGTCTTCTAACTTGGACGGCTTAGTGACTTCGAAACCGTGCAAGAAGTTGCCTAAGATGAAGTGCAACATCCTGAGGGCAAGTGAGGCACCGGGGCACGATCTTCTTCCCGAGCCGAAAGGTACGAGTTTGAAAGATCGGCCTTGAAAATCGATATCCTTATTGTTGCTAACAAATCTCTCTGGTCGGAATTCATGGGGGTCCGTCCATACACGTTCATCATGTTGAATCTTCCAGGCGTTTATCAATAGTCGTGTACCGGATGGAATGTGGTAGCCCGTCGAGAGGGTGCAATCTTGTAATGCAGCCCGAAGGCCGATGACCGGTACCGGAGGGTATAACCGCAACATTTCCTTAACGACGGCTTGAAGGTAGACAAGGTTTTTGATATCCGACTCTTGTAATGGTCTATGCTTTCCAACGTGCATGTCTAGCTCATCCTGTGCTTTTTTTAGCACGCGAGGATTGTTCAGTAGCAAAGACAATGCCCAAATGAGTGCCACCATGGTTGTGTCGGTTCCCCCAAAGGCTAAAATCTACCAAAACAATACAACATTACTTGGATTAGTTTCCGATACACGGAGTTCGATTAAATTCGGTTGCTTACCAAGCAAGTAGCCTTATTGATTGTATCAGAGTCGAAAGAACCGATGTCGGCATTGTCGAGGATATTGAGCAACACATCCATAAAATCCTGCTCTTCCATCACTCCTCCACTCATAAGCCTCTTCTGTTTGTGCTCCTCCAACCACCCTCCAATAATGCTATCCAATTCTTTCGCTGTTCTTTTCATAGCCTTTTTGTGCCCCTGAAAATCCAGCCACCCGAGATACGGTATAGCATCGGACAACACAAACACCCCGAACCAATAAGAGAATTCTCTCATTACTTTTCGACATCGTTGTGCCTCGGCTTTGTCGCAATCGGTGTCCGGTCCGAAGTATCTTTTCCCTCCCACCATTCTCAAAGCAATATTATGAGTTAATTCCTCAAACCACCGCTTCATATCTACCAGCACACCACTTCCTTCACAACCTTTGCCAAGCCATGACCTATATGAGGACAGTCGCAAATTATATGCTAATAGACGAATTTATGATGTAAAAACATATTATAAATAAAAAATATAAAGAAAATATTTATAATATACGATAATTTAAAATTTTGAGTTCGTGATAGGTCCATTACCTGTACAATTCTCTTGTCGCAGTCTTCACCTCCGAAACTCGTATATATTCTAGCATATCGATGCGGTTATTAGATAAAAGCTCGACCGTGGCAATCTTGCGCATCTCACGCCAATATGGTCCGTAAGGGGCGAACCCGAACATAGCAAAGTCATAGCCGAGAAGCTTGGAAGCAGCGATGTTTGGTCTAGTGGAAAAGACCTTATCATGTACGGTGAAGCATTCTTCGGCCATCTCCCAAGCGTTTAAAACCAGCGCTTTGTTTGATCCTAGCCTTATGCAGAAAACAGGCCCATATTGGTCGGCCATGGCACCCAATGTTTTGTGGGTGAGTTGCTGACCTCCGAAGAGGTGCATGTGTCCGATGATCGGCAAAGCACCGCCGGCTTGTGGCGGTGAACGGCAGCTTCGCTTGTTGGACGACTGATAAAAGTAAATGCAACATGAAAGAGCGAGAGTGCTGAGTATGGTAAACAGGCCCTGCAAGAGAGGATCCATTGGAAGGTTTCAAAGCTTTCAATTCTAATTGCATGAGTTTAATCTAAAACCATCCATTTTGAAGTGAGCAAGAGTGATTTGGGCTGCTTGGAAATCTTAATGGAGTTAGATGTTTTTTCTAGATATTGATTAGAGACTGTCATGTGTTTTCACCATTCATGTGCTCGGAAGTCTACATCATACTGTTTGATAGATGAACATTCCATGCTTATCCTTAGAAATCTCAGAAATTGGCGGCCATAGGTACGTTGGTGGGCAAATCAATCCATATCACCAACAATTTTAGCGTATCATTTGGTATTTTAATTTTAACACGTAGTTTCTAATAGCCGTAAAACTTGTTAAAGTTATACAACGACAAAGATATTCAAAGTGGTTTTCTAGTTCTTTTTCCCTTTCAAAAGCTTCACTTAATGATTTAGTGGCATTCTCTCTCTTTTTCTTATTTAAATATAAAAAACATTCTTCTTGTTTTGATTTCTTTCTTTTTCGTATATTCTTAAAATGTTAGTTTTTGTTTGTTTTTATGGTAGTTTTTCGTTTACTTTTATGTTACAGTTTAGCCTATTATTATGATTGCTTAACATTTTGTATTATATTCATCATAGCGTATCTCATGATCAAGAAAAATCGACAGTCTGATGTGATTAAATCATCTTTTACGATAGTTTAACGATGCATTTAGAGGAATTATTTATTAGATTGGTTCTTCTAATCTCTATGCCTACATCAATATTACTATATCTTTGAATAGAGAGAGATTATTCATAATAGGTTTTTATTTTGGAATTGTGTTGTCTTATTATACCTAATCCTTTTGTTTAATGAAAACCGAATTTCTTATTAAAAAAACATTTTCTTAAATCTCAATTATACTAAAATGGTTGTATTCATAAATTAAAGGGTAGAGTACATAAATGATCCCTAAACTATATGATATTTTTTATTGAGTCTCTTAATTATTAAAAGTTATAAAACGAGTCTCTATATATAGGGAGTTGCTTTGTTTAGTCATATTAAAAGTTACAAAATGATCACCTGACTATTCATTATGTTTCAAACTCGTACTTTTCTGTTAAAAATTTGACGACAGTTTGAACTGTACGTTAACCTACTAATTGAGATATGATAAAATTTGATCTCATAATCTCAAGCGACTATCGTATCTCATTAAACATGTTAACGTTCAGTTTAGCTGACTATTTTTTTAACAAAAAAAGATGAGTTTGGAACATAATAAATAGTCAATTGATCTTGTAACTTTTAATAGTCAAGGAGCTCAACAAAGCACCTCTTTATAGCCAAAAGACTAATTTGTAACCATTAATAATCAATAAACTCAATAAAATAATATTCTATAGTCAATGGACCATTTGTATACTTTACCCTAAATTAAATTCATATCTAATACATTGAAAAATAGAAACAAAATCTTATATAAAAATTAAATTCATATTTTATATATTGAAAAAATATATAAGAATTAAAATTGATCAAAGAACAAGAATATTCATGTTATTACTAATTGTTCTCATCATTCTACCTTGCAAGGAATAATATTGTATTCATTTTTCAAGTAAAAAAAGATATAAAATACAATCTAATTACATTTAGTTATCACAATCACATCAGTTTCCAAGTCACTAATATGTCTAACAGATACTTAAATGTTTACATTAAAGTTTACAAGGGAGAATCATATACGACGGTACTGATCAAAACAGATATTATACACACATAAATGAAATAAGCAAGTAAAATTATTAAGGGTAAACTACGAATTTAGTACCTAAACTATCATAACCCGTTTTAGTATCTAAACTTTAACTTCTTTTAAAATCATACTCAACGTTTAGTTTTAATTTTATTTTAGTATCACGTCGTTAAAAAACTTAACGTGTTTAGTACTTAAACTATCAATTTTGGTTCGTTTTAGTGCTTAAACTTTCAATTTTTTCCAAAACTTAAAGTTAAATTTTAAACATGGGTACTAAAATGGAAAAAAACTAAAGTTTTTAATGAAAGAGTACTAAAATGAAACGAAAACTAAACTTTAGGTATAGTTTTAAAAGAAGTGAAAGTTTAGGTATTAAAACAGATCAAAACTAATAGTTTATGTATTAAGCACGTAATTTATCCTATTATTAATTAATAATCCTGAAAATGGGAGGAGAAAATTTCCGAAATTAATTATAGTCAATGAACGTGTCCTATAACCACTCTCGGCCAAACAAGTTGATCTCTCCTTTCACTTGTGCAAACCTCTCTCCGCAAACCCAATGTGTCTTCACCTTCATTCCTCTTCACTCCTCTCTCATTCTTTCAATGGGTGGCACTGCCTACCCAGTATTCATTTTAAATACATTTCTTACATTTCTTCTTTATTCACAGTCATTTGAATGAGAGATCAATAATATCAAGGGGGTGGGGGGACAAAACACCAAATAAAGTCACAAGTCACACTGTTGTGTGTGTGTGTGTGTTTTATGTTTTTGCTTGTGACTTGGAATCTTATTGTTTCTCCTTATATCATGCAGCGCAATCTCGTTGATTCAGAGTCGACGACCAAGTTTGGGTTTGGTGGCGGTGGTAATGAGCACCGTCCAGTTTGCCCTAAACCTCGTCGCCTTGTCGGACCTGCTGCGGTTCCCGAGTTTCTCAAGCCCCTCAGATGTACCAAACACAGGCTTGAATTGGTTTCTCGTTGTTTTTTTCTCCAACGATTTATCGGTTGATTCGTGACAAAGCTTCAACGGCAGCCAATCGTATACTGATGGGAGGTGTGGAGTTCTCAACATGATTGCAGTGAAGGTTAGTTGATAAAACTTTATCGTATATTTTAGATTTTTTTTTTATACTTTCACTCTCCTGGAATTTTATAAATACCTTTCTAACATAAAATCGCGTGTTCGCATAGGCAAGCGAGGGAAGAGAACCGAGTTGCTGCAGCCGCTGGGCATCGTGTTCATCTCCTCCGGGGAGAACAGGCAATACCTTGGTTCACGACGTGCACTTCGTTGATCAAATGGAGCTTCTCTCACCCTTTGGTCGACCCAAGTTTTCGGATAAATTCGGCATCACCTCTGCTGCCTCCCCGGTTTGAGCATTCTTCCGGCAGCCTTGAAAATGAGGGGACATGTACCCTTTTGTGGGATCTCTTCGTTAGTCTTTTGTTTTTATTTTCTAATTTAATTGTAAATATCATGAGTTAAAAATGGACCGATTAGATGTCTCTTGTAAATATAACATTTTCATCCATCAGTTCATTGTTTCGATTTATTTATTCTTTTCGTTTTGAATGATTGTACATTTCCTTTTCTTACAGAGGGAGTGTCCCTTTTCTTATTATTTTCTATAACCCCCTTATCAAATTCAAAATTAAGTTATATATATATATATATATATATATATATATATATATATATATATATATATATATAATATTGATTTTTTAAAAATATTGAGTTTGAGCAATGTGTAATCGTTTTCTTTTTCAAATTTTGAATGCTTCATTCGAACCCAAAATTTAATCTAATTAGTTTATATAATTATATTTTGGATAAATTATTAGACAGTTCCTCAACTACAAAATTTTTTATTGAATTTATCAACTACAAAAAATTACAAAATAATCATCCAATAAAAAAGATAATATATTGATTATTTTCTATTAAAAGAGTAATAGTGATGATATATAATTTAATAATATTAGCATAATAATTAATTTGGTCTTAAATATTTACATATTATTATTTTTTGAATATTAATTGAACTTTAATTAAATTGATCTCGAGTAACTCATAATCTCGTCATTCTTACCACCTAGTAGTGGTTGTTTACAGTTTGGATGACGGGTAAAGACACATAAGGAGACAATGATGAATCAGTGGAATTGTTTTTTTACACAGTTCAGTGGAAATCTTAGAAAGAGACGAATGGGACAGAAAGATATTGACGGGGCACAACGAGAAGCACAATAAAGCAGTGCTGATGACTAATCAGATAAAATGAGAAGTGTCAAAGTAGTGCTGACCTTTCATCTCCCAGAATCAAGGAGTCGAGGAAAATTTTTAAGGTGACTCGACTAGAATTTTATAAATTTAATTTAAATAGGTTATTTCATTAAATAGAGCTTTTGTTTTACACATGTGGAGGTGAAGTGGAGTGGTGACATAATTGTGAATATTGTTAAATGGTAGGCGGACTTGCCGCATAAGCATTCATTTTTTATTTTGTTGGACGGTGCCACATTGTCATGGAAATTCAAACTCAGCTCAACCGGCACTCCCATATCGATCTCGCTGCATTAATTGATAAAAATTATATAAGCCTGGCCATGGCATTCAAATTCCCATACCAACTCCACTGACTTTTTATTTCCTTTCATTCAACACTCATCGTACAGTAAATGGAACACAGAAAAAAAAGCATATTATTTAACATCCAAGGGGATCGTCGTTTTTAGATTGTAGTGCTGCTGCGGAAGGATTTCAAAGCTTTGATGGCCGTAGCTCTCAGTATGTATTGATGATATGCAGCTGCCGCAATCGCTCCGGTGAAAGGCCCGACCCAAAATATCCACTGTTTTTTCATCGCCAACACAATGTTAATAATATAATTCAATCCATGTGTACATGGTGAAGAAAAATGAAATTAACTTGTAATAAATTAACCTGATCATCCCAGTTTTTTCACCGTTGTAGATCACGGCCGCACCGAGGCTCCTAGCCGGGTTTATTCCGGTGCCGGTGATGGGAATGGTGGCCAGGTGCACCACGAACACAGCGAATCCGATTGGCAAGGGAGCTAACACCTAATCAAAGTCACACACATGAAAGCTTAGTTACATTAAAGAGTAGTTTGTTGATGTTTTGTGCTACTATATTACTCACAGGGACGTGAGAATCACGTGCACTTCTTTTGGGATCTGTGGCGGAGAAGACGGTGTAGACGAGGACGAAAGTTCCGGTGATCTCGGCACCCAAAGCGGTGGCATTCGAGTATCCCGGAGCCACAGTGTTGGCACCGCCCCCATGCATATTGTATGCGTTCCTCATGAATGCCTTGGCTAAACCTG